TTCAAATGAGTATCCGATGTAGCGGTGCGTTTGTAAGCATCGCCACTGGGGAGACAAAGGCGGCCGGGCGTGGTGTTGGCCACCTACTCCCTCGTGTGCCGTTCCGGCCTTCACAGGCGCTGCTCGCTAACAGCACTTGCCCCTACAAATTTGTTCAAGGCTATACTGGGGGGACTTTGTGGTGGTGAGTTAACGACACCACATTTGTATTTACGCCCGATCTAAATCCCAAACCAAAAAAGACTATCATGGCCTTTTTACTCTATATCCATGATATACTGTGTAACAAAAACAATTGTTCCTGGGTAGTAAGTGTTATTTCCTAATTGCTTATGCCTCAAAAGTACAGAAAATAGCTATCATTCCCTAACAAACTTTGCTTTTGTGACCAGGCCAGTGCCATTTCGAAATGTCCCTATTTTCAATGAGAAAATGTGCGCATTTGCGTCTTTCATTCACGTAAAAGTCCAGGTCACAAAAGCAAAGTTTGTGAGAAATAATAGCCATTTTCGATACTTTTCAGGCATAATCAATAAAACAAAATTATAACACTTAGTACCCAGGAACAAGAATTGTGTTGCATAGTGAATTATCGGTGGACACACTGAACCCCCCAAGGTGACTGGGGCCAGACGGGTCAGGCGCAGCGGATGCGGCGTGGCGACGCATCCGCTGCGGTGCCCAAGTCTCCTCCTTCAAATCGATCTCTGTGCGAGTCCATGGCTCTGGGCGAGTCCATGGCTCTCAGCGAGTCCATGGCTCTCAGTGTGAGTCAATGGCTCTCAGTGCGAGTCTATACATCTGTGTGTGAGTCTATGGGCTATCAGTGAGTCTATGGCTCTCAGTGAGAGTCTATACATCTGTGTGTGAGTCTATGGGCTATCAGTGAGAGTCTATACATATGTGTGTGAGTCTATGGGCTATCAGTGAGAGTCTATACATCTGTGTGTGAGTCTATGGGCTCTCAGTGAGTCTATGGCTCTCAGTGAGAGTCTAAACATGTGTGCGAGTCCATGGCTCTGGGCGAGTCCATGGCTCTCAGTGCGAGTCTATACATCTGTGTGTGAGTTTATGGGCTATCAGTGAGTCTATGGCTCTCAGTGAGAGTCTATACATCTGTGTGTGAGTTTATGGGCTATCAGTGAGTCTATGGCTCTCAGTGAGAGTCTATACATCTGTGTGCGAGTCCATGGCTCTGGGCGAGTCCGTGGCTCTCAGTGCGAGTCTATACATGTGTGTGAGTCTATGGGCTCTCAGTGAGAGTCTATACATCTGTGCGAGTCTATGGGCTCTCAGTGAGAGTCTATACATCTGTGTGTGAGTCTATGGGATATCAGTGAGTCTATGGCTCTTAGTGCGAGTCAATGGCTCTCAGTGCGAGTCTATACATCTGTGTGTGAGTCTATGGGCTCTCAGTGAGAGTCTATACATCTGTGTGAGCCTATGGGCTATCAGTGAGTCTATGGCTCTCAGTGAGAGTCTATACATCTGTGAGTCTATGGGCTATCAGTGAGTCAATGGCTCTCAGTGAGAGTCTATACATCTGTGTGTGAGTCTATGGGCCCTCAGTGAGAGTCTATACATCTGTGTGAGTCTATGGGCTATCAGTGAGTCAATGGCTCTCAGTGCGAGTCTATACATCTGTGTGTGAGTCTATGGGCTCTCAGTGAGAGTCTATACATCTGTGTGTGAGTCTATGGGCTATCATTGCGTCTATGGCTCTCAGTGAGAGTCTATACATCTGTGTGTGAGTCCACGGGCTATCAGTGAGTCTATGGGCTCTCAGTGAGTCTATACATTTGTGAGTCTATGGGCTATCAGTGAGTCTATGGCTCTCAGTGAGAGTCTATACATCTGTGAGTCTATGGGCTATCAGTGAGTCTATGGCTCTCAGTGAGAGTCTATACATCTGTGTGTGAGTCTATGGGCTATCAGTGAGTCTATGGCTCTTAGTGTGAGTCAATGTCTCTCAGTGCGAGTTTATACATCTGTGTGTGAGTCTATGGGATCTCAGTGAGTCTATGGCTCTCAGTGCGAGTCTATACATCTGTGTGTGAGTCTATGGGCTCTCAGTGAGAGTCCATACATCTGTGTGTGAGTCTATGGGCTATCAGTGAGTCAGTGGCTCTCAGTGAGAGTCTATACATCTGTGTGTGAGTCTATGGGATATCAGTGAGTCTATGGCTCTTAGTGTGAGTCTATGGCTCTCAGTGAGAGTCTATACATCTGTGTGTGAGTCTATGGGCTATCAGTGAGTCTATGGCTCTCAGTGCGAGTCTATACATCTGTGTGTGAGTCTATGGGCTCTCAGTGAGTCTATGGCTCTCAGTGAGAGTCTAAACATCTGTGTATGAGTCTATGGGCTCTCAGTGAGTCTATGGGCTCTCAGTGAGAGTCTATACATCTGTGTGTGAGTCTATGGGCTATCAGTGAGTCTATGGCTCTCAGTGAGAGTCTATACATCTGTGTGTGAGTCTATGGCTCTCAGTGAGAGTCTATACATCTGTGTGTGTCTATGGGCTATCAGTGAGTCTATGGCTCTCAGCGAGAGTCTATACATCTGTGTGTGAGTCTATGGGCTCTCAGTGAGTCTATGGCTCTCAGTGAGTCTATACATCTGTGTGTGAGTCTATGGGCTATCAGTGAGTCTATGCTCTCAGTGATAGTCTATACATCTGTGTGTGAGTCTATGGGCTATCATTGCGTCTATGGCTCTCAGTGAGAGTCTATACATCTGTGTGAGTCTATGGGCTATCAGTGAGTCTATGGCTCTCAGTGCGAGTCTATACATCTGTGTGTGAGTCTATGGGCTCTCAGTGAGAGTCTATACATCTGTGTGTGAGTCTATGGGCTCTCAGTGAGTCTATGACTCTCAGTGAGAGTCTATACATCTGTGTGTGAGTCTATGGCTCTCAGTGAGAGTCTATACATCTGTGTGCGAGTCTATGGGCTATCAGTGAGTCTATGTCTCTCAGTGAGAGTCTATACATCTGTGTGTGAGTCTATGGGCTATCAGTGAGTCAATGGCCCTCAGTGCGAGTCTATACATCTGTGTGTGAGTCTATGGGCAATCAGTGAGTCTATGGCTCTCAGTGAGAGTCTATACATCTGTGAGTCTATGGGCTCTCAGTGAGAGTCTATACATCTATGTGTGAGTCTATGGCACTCCTCGCGTTGCTGGCAACACTCCTCGCGTTGCTGGCAACATTCCCCGCGTTACGCACAATCCCCGCGTTACGCACAACACTCCCCGCGTTACGCACAACACTCCCCGCGTTACGCACAACACTCCCCGCGTTATGCACACTCCCCACGTTACTCGCAACAACACTCCCCACGTGACCCACAACAACACTCCCCACGTGACTCAACACTCCCCGCGTTACGCACAACACTCCCCGCGTTACGCACAACACTCCCCGCGTTACGCACAACACTCCCCGCGTTACGCACAACACTCCCCACGTTACTCGCAACAACACTCCCCACGTTATGCACACTCCCCACGTTACTCGCAACAACACTCCCCACGTGACTCACAACACTCCCCACGTTACTCGCAACAACACTCCCCACGTGACCCACAACAACACTCCCCACGTGACTCACAACAACACTCCCCACGTGTCTCCCAACAACACTCCCCACGTGACTCACAACAACACTCCCCACGTGACTCACAACACTCCCCACGTGACTCGCAACAACAACACTCCCCACGTGACTCACAACACTCCACACGTGACTCACAACAACAACACTCCCCACGTGACTCGCAACAACACTCCCCACGTGACTCACAAGACTCCCCACGTGACTCGCAACAACAACACTCCCCACGTGACTCACAACACTCCCCACGTGACTCACAACAACACTCCCCACGTGACTCACAACAACACTCCCCACGTGACTCACAACAACAACACTCCCCACGTGACTCCCAACAACAACACTCCCCACGTGACTCACAACACTCCCCACGTGACTCACAACAACACTCCCCACGTGACTCACAACAACAACAACACTCCCCACGTGACTAACAACAACACTCCCCACGTGACTAACAACACTCCCCACGTGACTCACAACAACAACACTCCCCACGTGACTCACAACAACACTCCCCACGTGACTCACAACACTCCACACGTGACTCAACAACAACACTCCCCACGTGACTCACAACAACACTCCCCACGTGACTCACAACACTCCACACGTGACTCACAACAACAACACTCCCCACGTGACTCACAACAACACTCCCCACGTGACTCACAACAACACTCCCCACGTGACTAACAACAACACTCCCCACGTGACTCCCAACAACAACACTCCCCACGTGACTCACAACAACAACAACACTCCCCACGTGACTAACAACAACACTCCCCACGTGACTCCCAACAACAACACTCCCCACGTGACTAACAACAACACTCCCCACGTGACTAACAACACTCCCCACGTGACTCCCAACAACACTCCCCACGTGACTCCCAACAACAACACTCCCCACGTGACTCACAACAACAACAACACTCCCCACGTGACTAACAACAACACTCCCCACGTGACTAACAACAACACTCCCCACGTGACTCACAACAACACTCCCCACGTGACTCCCAACAACAACACTCCCCACGTGACTCACAACACTCCCCACGTGACTCACAACACTCCACACGTGACTAACAACAACACTCCACACGTGACTCACAACAACAACACTCCCCACGTGACTCACATCAACAACACTCCCCACGTGACTCACAACACTCCCCACGTGACTCCCAACAACACTCCCCACGTGACTCACAACAACAACACTCCCCACGTGACTCCCAACACTCCCCACGTGACTCCCAACAACAACACTCCCCACGTGACTAACAACAACACTCCCCACGTGACTCACAACAACAACAACACACCCCACGTGACTCCCAACAACAACAGAGAGTCGGGCTCGCGGCCCGCGTCGCTACCCGCGGGGAGATGTCCGCCCTTGAGGTCGGGGTGCTCCTTCGGAGGCGAAGCCATGGCAGCACGACACGCAGAGGCCACTCTACTACTAGCCTACAGTCTACTACTAGCCTACAGTCTACTACACTCTACACTGATCTACACACGCCACAGTCTCCGCTCCGCAGTGTTCACTCCGCCAGGGACGACTCCACCAGACCATCAACTCCACGACTTCCTCAAGCAATGGCGGATCTCAACCTCCCCCACCACCACCACTTGCCCCTCCCCTCCACCACCCCTACTAACCCCGCCCACTGCAGATGGGATGCTCCCATTGGTCAATAAATTATGCAAACCCGGCTCGCCCCTCCCCTCCGCCCCGACTAGCCCCTCCCACTGCAGAAGGGACGCTCTCATTGGTCCGCAAATAGCAGAGATCCCCCACTCACCCCCTCCCTTCTGTCCCCCACTCTCCCCTCCCCTCCGACCGCCAATGGAAGACTCCCATTGGTCTACCACTCGCCCCTCCCCTCCACCCCCCTCATTCCCGGCCCTCACTGCAAAAGGAACGCTCCCATTGGTCCGGGCGAGCGCAACGTGTCGCGAATTCGGCCAATCGGAAGCGGAGGGAGTTTGCTTCGCGGGGTGCGGGGTGGGGTTGGAGGGGAGGAGGGGCCACGTGGCGCAATCCTTAGGTTTCAATGACACGTGGCTCTGACACAGCATCATCCCGAACCTATAGGGTTCAATGTTAATCACTGGGGCTCCCATAGGGTTCGGTGTTAATCAATGAGGCTCCCATAGGGTTCAGTTTCAATCACTGATACTCCCATAGGGTTCAGTATTAATCAGTGAGGCTCTCATAGGGTTCGGTTTTAATCACTGGGGCTCCCATAGGGTTCAGTGTTCATCAGTGAGGCTCCCATAGGATTCAGTGTTAATCACTGGGGCTCCCATAGGGTTCAGTCTCAACCACTGATACTCCCATAGGGTTCCGTTTCAATCACTGATACTCCCATAGGATTCAGTGTTAATCACTGAGGCTCCCATAGGGTTCAGTTTCAATCACTGGGGCTCTCATAGGGTTCAATGTTAATCACTGGGGCTCCCATAGGGTTCAGTCTCAACCACTGATACTCCCGTAGGGTTCAGTATTCATCAGTGAGGCTCCCATAGGGTTCGGTGTTAATCACTGGGGCTCTCACAGGGTTCAGTTTCAATCACTGATACTCCCATAGGGTTCAGTATTCATCAGTGAGGCTTCCATAGGGTTCGGTGTTAATCACTGGGGCTCTCACAGGGTTCAGTTTCAATCACTGATACTCCCATAGGGTTCAGTATTCATCAGTGAGGCTTCCATAGGGTTCGGTGTTAATCACTGGGGCTCCCATAGGGTTCAGTATTCATCAGTGAGGCTCCCATAGGATTCAGTGTTAATCACTGGGGCTCCCATAGGGTTCAGTCTCAACCACTGATACTCCCATAGGGTTCAGTTTCCATCACTGATACTCCCATAGGATTCAGTGTTAATCACTGAGGCTCCCATAGGGTTCAGTTTCAATCACTGGGGCTCCCATAGGGTTCAGTTTCAATCACTGATACTCCCATAGGATTCAGTGTTAATCACTGAGGCTCCCATAGGGTTCGGTATTAATCACTGGGGCTCCCATAGGGTTCAGTTTCAATCACTGATACTCCCATAGGGTTCAGTATTCATCAGTGAGGCTCCCATAGGGTTCAATGTTAATCACTGGAGCTCCCACAGGGTTCAGTCTCAACCACTGATACTCCCGTAGGGTTCAGTATTCATCAGTGAGGCTCCCATAGGGTTCAGTTTCAATCACTGGGGCTCCCATAGGGTTCAGTTTCAATCACTGATACTCTCATAAGGTTCATTATTCATCAGGCTCCCATAGGGTTCAATGTTAATCACTGGGGCTCCCATAGGGTTCAGTTTCAATCACTGATACTCCCATAGGGTTCAGTATTCATCAGTGAGGCTCCCATAGGGATCGGTGTTAATCACTGGGGCTCCCATAGGGTTCAGTCTCAATCACTGATACTCCCATAGGGTTCAGTATTCATCAGTGATGCTCCCATAGGGTTCAATGTTAATCACTGGGGCTCCCATAGGGTTCAGTTTTAATCACTGATACTCCCATAGGGTTCAGTATTCATCAGTGAGGCTCCCATAGGTTTCGGTATTAATCACTGGGGCTCCCATAGGGTTCAGTATTCATCAGTGAGGCTCCCATAGGGTTCAATGTTAATCACTGGGGCTCCCATAGGGTTCACTTTCAATCACTGATACTCCCATAGGGTTCAGTATTCATCAGTAAGGCTCCCATAGGGTTCGGTGTTAATCACTGGGGCTCCCATAGGGTTCAGTTTCAATCACTGATACTCCCATAGGGTTCAGTATTCATCAGTAAGGCTCCCATAGGGTTCGGTGTTAATCACTGGGGCTCCCATAGGGTTCAGTTTCAATCACTGATACTCCCATAGGGTTCAGCATTCATCAGTGAGGCTCCCATAGGGTTCGGTGTTAATCACTGGGGCTCCCATAGGGTTCAGTTTCAATCACTGATACTCCCATAGGGTTCAGTATTCATCAGTGAGGCTCCCATAGGGTTCAGTGTTAATCACTGAGGCTCCCATAGGGTTCAGTATTCATCAGTGAGGCTCCCATAGGGTTCCATGTTAATCACTGAGGCTCTCATAGGGTTCAGTGTTAATGTCTGGAGCCCTCATAGGGTTAAGTGTTAATCACTGAGGCTTCCATAGGGTTAAGTGTCAATCAATGAGGCTCCCGTAGGGTTCAGTGATAATCTTCTTTGGTTCTTTCGGTAAAGTCACGTAGAATGAGAATAAAATAATAAATTCTACGTGACTTTACCGAAAGAACCAAAGAAGATGAATCATTGCAGTCACGAAAGCTTTACATCGAAATTCAGTGATAATGATTGGGGCTCCTAGACGGTTCAGTGTTAATCAATGAGGCTCCCATAGGGTTCAGTTTCAATCACTGATACTCTCATAGGGTTCAGTATTAATCAGTGAGGCTCCCATAGGGTTCAACGTTAATCACTGGGGCTCCCATATGGTTCAGTTTTAATCACTGATACTCCCATAGGATTCGGTATTAATCAGTGAGGCTCCCATAGGGTTCAGTGTTAATCACTGAAACTCCCATAGGGTTCAATGTTAATTACTGAGGCTCCCATAGGGTTTCGTGACAATCACTGAGGCTCCCACATGGTTCAGTGTTGATCACTGAGGCTCCCATAGGGTTCAGTGTTAATCACTGAGGCTCCCATATGGTTCAGTGTTAATGTCTGGGGCTCCTACAGGATTCAGTGCCAATCACTAAGGCTCCCACATGGTTCAGTGTTAATCACTGAGGCTCCCATAGTGTTCAGTGTTAGTGTCTGGGGCTCCCATAGGATTAAGTGTTAATCACTGAGGATCCCATAGGATTCAGTGTTAATGTCTGGGGCTCCCATATGGTTTAGTGTTAATCACTGAGGCTCCAATAGGGTCCAATGTTAATCACTGAGGCTCCCATAGGATTCAGTGTTAATGTCTGGAGCTCCCATAGGGTTCAGTGTCAATCACTGAGGCTCCCATAGGATTCAATGTTAATCACTGAGGCTCCCATAGGGTTCAGTGTTAATCACTGAGGCTCCCATAGGGTTCAATGTTAATCACTGAGGCTCCCATAGGATTCAGTATTAATGTCTGGGGCTCCCATAGGGTTAAGTGTTAATGTCTGGGGCTCCCATAGGGTTCAATGTTAATCACTGAGGCTCCGATAAGGATTCAGTGTTAATGTCTGGGGCTCCCATAGGGTTCAATGTTAATCACTGAGGCTCCCATAGGATTCAGTGTTAATGCCTGGGGCTCCTATAGGAGTCAGTGTTGATCACTGCGGCTCCCATATGGTTCAGTGTTAATCACTGAGGCTCCCATAGGGTTCAGTGTTAATCACTGAGGCTCCCATAGTGTTCAGTGTTAATGTCTGGGGCTCCCATAGGGTTAAGTGTTAATCACTGAGGCTCCCATAGGGTTCAGTGTTAATCACTGAGGCTCCCATAGTGTTCAGTGTTAATGTCTGGGGCTCCTATAGGATTCAGTGTTAATGTCTGGGGCTCCTATAGGATTCAGTGTTAATCTCTGAGGCTCCCATATGGTTCAGTGTTAATCACTGAGGCTCCCATAGTGTTCAGTGTTAATCACTGAGGCTCCCATAGTGTTCAGTGTTAATGTCTGGGGCTCCCATAGGGTTAAGTGTTAATCACTGAGGCTCCCATAGGGTTCAGTGTTAATCACTGAGGCTCCCATAGTGTTCAGTGTTAATGTCTGGGGCTCCTATAGGATTCAGTGTTAATGTCTGGGGCTCCCATAGTGTTCAGTGTTAATGTCTGGGGCTCCCATAGGGTTAAGTGTTAATCACTGAGGCTCCCATAGGGTTCAGTGTTAATCACTGAGGCTCCTATAGTGTTCAGTGTTAATGTCTGGGGCTCCTATAGGATTCAGTGTTAATGTCTGGGGCTCCTATAGGATTCAGTGTTAATCTCTGAGGCTCCCATATGGTTCAGTGTTAATCACTGAGGCTCCCATAGGATTAAGTGTTAATCACTGAGGATCCCATAGGATTCAGTGTTAATGTCTGGGGCTCCCATATGGTTTAGTGTTAATCACTGAGGCTCCAATAGGGTCCAATGTTAATCACTGAGGCTCCCATAGGATTCAGTGTTAATGTCTGGAGCTCCCATAGGGTTCAGTGTCAATCACTGAGGCTCCCATAGGATTCAATGTTAATCACTGAGGCTCCCATAGGGTTCAGTGTTAATCACTGAGGCTCCCATAGGGTTCAATGTTAATCACTGAGGCTCCCATAGGATTCAGTATTAATGTCTGGGGCTCCCATAGGGTTAAGTGTTAATGTCTGGGGCTCCCATAGGGTTCAATGTTAATCACTGAGGCTCCGATAAGGATTCAGTGTTAATGTCTGGGGCTCCCATAGGGTTCAATGTTAATCACTGAGGCTCCCATAGGATTCAGTGTTAATGCCTGGGGCTCCTATAGGAGTCAGTGTTGATCACTGCGGCTCCCATATGGTTCAGTGTTAATCACTGAGGCTCCCATAGGGTTCAGTGTTAATCACTGAGGCTCCCATAGTGTTCAGTGTTAATGTCTGGGGCTCCCATAGGGTTAAGTGTTAATCACTGAGGCTCCCATAGGGTTCAGTGTTAATCACTGAGGCTCCCATAGTGTTCA